TTACCGCCTCATCATGGTCGGGAGGTGTTCCTGGGTGTCGAGCTGCGATGTACAGCGGGAGGATTCATCCCCTGGCAGGGTATCCCAAGCTGAGAAGGAAGCCAGCGTTTCCATCAGGAAGCCTAGCTAGGAGCAAACCAATACTAGGACCCACCACCGTCCTGGTATCAAAATAGCATGGCGGTAAATCTCCCTCTAATCCAAAAGGACTGCGATTGCCTGTGGTGGCGAAGACCTGTGGCAGACTTTGGCCGGGCTGACCTTGAGATTCCAGGGAACCACAATGGATTAACCAGCAGATCACCGAAAATGTGGAGATTGTGCTGGGGTCCGCACAACCAGTGAGGACGGGCCATTCAAGTGTCAAGTTTAAGTACCAAGCAGAATATGACATAGGTTACGTTAGGAATCCAAGAAGAGCTTCATTTGCAAAAATTTTTTTGGGCAAACCATATTTTTTCCTTAAGTTTAGTCCAATGCTTTAGAAATTAAAAATTTTAATGATAATTAACTGCAGGAAAAGCACTTTGTTTTGCTAACTTTCCTTACTCTGATGATATGAGTAGAACCTTGCTGTGATTTCGTTTCGAAGTATTTTTTTATATTTAGCGCTATTAGACGCTTTTTTATATAAGACTTTGTATTAGTTTGGTCTAGTTTACACTATCATCTAAACATCAGCGAGAAGACTAGAGACTTGATCATGAATGACGTTCAAGTTCTACAATACAGTAGGTTTTACTACACTATAAGAGTAGGACGCGTGTAACGCACTAGTTAAAAATGCCTTATAATACACACTTGTTCTCTGGTTCGATGCCTATTCACCAAGCTTTCCACCTCTTTAGGAGCGGCGAATTGGTGACATACGTCGCTGGGAGGACAGTAGCAGAGACCTAATGTATCGCTAGGCTGTCTTCAGTCGTTTTGTGTGCCAAACGTGTATTCGTCTCTGCAAGCCTTCATGAAGTCAAATGCATGGCGCATTCATGCGATGTTTAATCAGCTTCATCAACTTTATCCTTTATATTACGCAGTAAGTGCTATATGGTGTATAATTTTATATAATGTCAGATCTATCGAAGTCTTTCAGCATCTGTTAACGTAAGCAGACACAAACAAGCATTCACTCGTACTCCATAATTCACACCAGAACTTCTCCATAGATCCCACATTTTCAAGGGACATTAAGAGAAACAGGTTTTTCACTCTTTGAGCCTGCCCTATAGGTTTGCTCTTTTTGGGTTTCCGGATGGAAATGTTGAAGTTTTTCTGAGTTTAGGGTACTCTAGCGTTGAATGAACTCCAGTGTGACATCGCAGTTCGACACCCTACAACACAACCACGACGAGGTGGGAAGCCATTGTGAACGGGTGGAGGAGCCGGTGTTTTAAAACGATTATAAATAAAAGGGCCATTCTACTTTAATGAATATTTATGTATTTAAACCTATGACAGTTTTCATAAAATTTATTCTTATCCTTCTAAATACTTTTCAACGTTGACCGATATAAAGGAAGATGATGCGAGTTTCACAGACCAGTCTATAAGTTAGCATCAGCACAAAACTTGTGAATGGTTAGCGTGGGCTCGACTGGTTCACCAACCTTGGGCTGTGCACATGAAAACATCGCGTAATCCTGCTGCCCCACTAACGGCGTAGTAATCGGCATTATGGTTACATTTAACGCGAATCGTGTTTTGAAATAAACCCTTTGTGTCAACTTTTTTGAAAAAATGCCTCTACTTCTTAACTATAGGTGTTTTTTAAATAGCACTCTAATTGATGCAGCCTTCCACTTTGTTATTTATAGCAACGTAGTTTTTTCTCAAAGCATTTTTAATCTATTGAATCGCTGTTGAAGAATTGCTTGAATCAAATGGAATTTAAATCTAAGTCACAACTTTATGAGGTAAAGATAACCAAGCTATTGTATTGCTCATTATCACTATATTAGTGGTACGGCGTGTGTAGCGCAGTGGCTAGAGGTACACTACAACAGAAAGGTGGTCTTTGGTTCGGTGCTGCAAAAGTCTGCCAGCGCTGTGGTGAAGACCAGGGAACATTCTGGCAGGGGTATCTTGTGATTCCAAGAACAATCAAGCTGGACCAGCATTCAACAACATCTCTAAAGGAGGCAAAATCCTCATGCTACAGCTTCTAACCGATTGTCCGTCGCCGAATTTTTGACATAGGGAGCTCGGTTTTCGTCGCTGAATGGTCATTGTGTTAAAATTAGGGTTATGTTTAGCCTTAAGTTTAAGTTCATAGCGTGCACCATTGAAAGAATTGTGTAGATCCATGTGAAAGAGATAGTGGGGTACCTAGTGAGCCCGAAAAAGATGGTTCGCCCGCTATCGCAAACGTTCAAAAAAATCTCGATTTGTGTTTAACTGTTGTAAGAGAGAAGGCTGTACAGAAAATGTGATTGTAACAAAAACCGTCCGCGATTCTTCCGTTATCAGCTTTGTTTGTTGAGGCGTTATCGTGGCGTGGGATACGTTGATATACACTTTTCCACTCACATACACACATACACATGACACTTGCGGTTTTTTTTCCACTGTTCCTACCATGGATGTTTCTCTCATTACGGTATTTTAAGTTGGTCTCGGAAGAAGCGTAATGAGCAGCGCATGTCATCAATCATGCCACACTTACGACGATAATTTCTCGCCCGTGTCTTTTCTGTTGGGTCTTATCTTTTGTTCTTCCGTTTTATTTTGTTTTCTCCTTTTTTTTTGTTCTTCTTGCTTTCAACGAATTTATAGCTACGGTAATACCACTAGGGTCTCGAAAAGAACTTGAGCAACCGATAAGTCTACATTCACTACAAGAAAAATGTCGACGTTCATGCTGCAGTTCCGGTATTTCTTTGTCATCTTTCCGTTTTTTCCGTTCTTTTCGCTTTTTACTCTTACAATGAGCGAAATTGTGACTACGGTATTTTCATTTGGTCTCGAAAAGAAACGAACACCACACAGCCTCAATTACGTCGCTGCTTATAATTTTATTGCCTCGTTTGTGGATTTTTTCTACCTCGGCAGTTTCTTCCTCTCTCTCCCTTTCCCCCTCTCCCCTTCCCCTTCTCCTCTTTCTTTCTCTGTCTTTCTCTCTTTTCCTTCTGCCTCTCTTTATTTCTCTCTCCCTCTCTCTCTGTCAAATTCTTTTTGAAGAAATGACGCATCCTACGACGGCGATCGACACTGGCATAAACGGCAACGCTTCGCTACTGCGCTAATTTAAGCGGAACGACAAATTGTCTTCAGGCGTGACACCACCTACTCAGCATTGATTGCACCTTTGTCCCATGTGAAAGAACGGAAAAAAGGAATTCCAAACTTGGCAAAATTACTAAGAGAAAATCTTAACAAATGTGTTTTTAACGTATTCCGACACTGCGATAATTACAATCCTAAGTGACACTTTTTTTCGTTGCTTTTATTCTTCTATTTCTTTTCATTCTTTTTTCTTTTTTTGCTTTCTCACCAGAAGTGGTTTTCACTATTTATCTTTATTTTCATTGTGTCATAAACACAAGAAAACTACCTGAAACAAAAAATTGACCTCGACATTGAACATATGCAAACTTTCGTTCTGCGTGGTCCACTAACCATCACTATACAAAGTAAGCGATGCAGATACAGGATAGAACGTTAGGCGTTGATCAATCTCCTAGAAATGCGCTATGCATTGAACTCCACTCATAGCTTCATAGAAGCTATTGAATCGATATTTAGCGAATATAATAATTTGTGAAAGCCTAGCGAAGCACCAAGTCAGTGTTTTTATTCTCTTTGGTTGATCAAATACCAATCTGCAGTTACCTTAAATATGGGAGGCCTTGTTAGCTAGCCTAGAAGGCAAAATCGAATAAAAGTCCACGTGTGTATTAAGGGGCACTTCCGACTGGTGCTGTGCTCTCGATTTCTTCCAAGACCTCGGTGGTTTCCGGAATAGATGTATTTTTATCCGAGTATGCCAATGGGAACACTGGACTATTTCTTAACTTTGACAACCTTACGGTATAGATGAACTATTGCCCGTCCTACGCTGCCGTTCAACACTCAGGAACACCCCCTCGTCGCTTCGTCCAATGAATGTTGTATGTTACGCAACATGGAAGAAAAAAAATGCTCAGATGCGGAGATGCATACTAACAGCCGTTGAACTCTACGATAAAGCAAAAAAAGCAAAAAAAAACGGAAGTCCATTATCCCCAAGATCGTCATGCGATCAGCGGCAGCATATCGAAGGAAAATATCCCAACACTGATCCTTGGGGATCATTTTAATCCAGTGATAGGCACAGTCAGGATTTCAGGGCGCAATAGTACGGACGAAAAGTCGGCAATAAGTGGACGAGAACGCTTAAAACGGTAGAAAGGGATAAATATTAGCCCACAAGTCGGAAACTGTTCAATTAGAAGTTGGGGAATAATGGAAAAACGTATTCAGTTGTTTTGATTTAAGTATGGTAAATCCGTACCATATATGTGCAGTGGTAACTCGTCCACCACGGTCGTGGATGAGTTGTTGCGTATGCAATTTTCCTTTGATTGGTTAAAAATGATAGAAGATGTTTTATTGGATTCGGCTTTTCCCTATTTAACAAATGTCGTGGACTCATATAGACTCATATAAGAACTTATGTAAATACCGCCCATGAGACTTATTGCCACGGTTTTTCTCCAAGTGAAGGAGAAAACCCAGTCATTGTTAGTTCGTTTAGGACAATTCGGGCTGTTCTCTTGTCGTTATCAAGATCAATATTACTACTAGCCAGTGTTATGTGGACTACCAAGCTCTCTTCTCTCCTATAATCTTGTCCCTCGCCTAACTTTCTTGATGAAATTTTCCGTTTCGTTTCTTCGTTGCTTTAGCTCATTCACATTTTCGCCATCTTATTCCTTTCCGACGTATTTTCATGTCACGCTAAATTAGCGTAAAGCAATAAACATTTTGCGCGTTTTCATTTTTTTCAATGGAAATTTAGATCGATGAATGGTGATGGCCAGCAGCAGGCAACATCATCCAGTGCGGCTCAATGGTCGCAACCGGCGTTGGCCGATATCCTGGTGAGCTACGGTATCTATTAATTGATGGTTTTATTGTGCTAAGGACCAGCATTTTTGAATTCAGTATGCATAAACACGATGAATGCAAAAAAAAGTGAGAAATGGAACTAAACGAACAAAATACAGGGCAGTAGATCAGAATGTTGAGAATGGACGAGACGAAGCTGAAGCTCTTTTCGTCTTGCTTATTTTATTTCATTTTATTTATCTGTTTTTGTTTGGAGGCTATTAGCATTAAACCGTAAAAAAAATATTAGTGCCGAGAAGGTCTGGGGTTCAAGTTTTGAAAAACCTCAGCATCATAGTGGTTGTATTTCACACCATGTCCTGCCCTAAAAAGTAGTAATAGGCAGTAAATAGAAAGTTAACATAGAAAAATATTTTGAAGTTGACGTTTCTGGGCGTCTATTAAAATGCTGACCGAGATTCAGGTTCGAAAACCGAATCTGTTAGGGGCAGGGTGTCTGGGGTGGGAACGAACGCGTAATTGCCCTTTCCGGGGGCCAACGCGTTCACTACCACACCGCTTTTGTGCCAGTTAGCCATAAATGTGATCTCGTTTTGTTGGTAATGAATGGGCGATGTTTCCATTCAATGAACTATATCGCACAACGTCCATCGACTACAGAACGTCACAACTGCGTCCGAATTCTTTTTTTTATACGCTATATGATTTGAAAGCGTTTCTCATTCAAAATATATATAGATGAAGTATTAGCATAACGTTTGGCTCCATCTGTGGTTTCATAGTGACGGAAAAGTCAGCTATGGACAAGTTTTCATCCTTTCATTTAATTAGTGACGCCGAAGAGCTCCTCGTCCAGAAAACACATGCTGCTTGAAGACCGTGCACACAACGACAAATTGTTTGCCTTTATTTTTAAATGATTGGCACTGAACAGTAAAACAGAGAGGAGTAGGGACGAAAACGATGGGTTGCCTCAAAGAAGCTTTTTTCCACTAAACGATCGTCAGGTTCACTTACAGTTGCTCATAGTGCTATTAATCATCGGTGGACTCGACGAACACAAAGAAGTTTTCATTCCTTTCCTGTGCAAAACTGTGCGGTAGGCTTTGCTCGTTCGTGAAACTCCAAGAGCACACAACATTTGCTATTGTGCCTTTCTTTATACTACCTTCTGCGAAAAGGTAGCCACGAATATCTCAGCATGTTATACTCTGATAAAGGCTCGCTCCCATCTGTGTTCTAAGATCAAAACATTCGAAGTCCTTTTTAGCTAGGGTAACACCGGCAAGTTGGACGGAGCACGCACCCTTTCCACTCTACATGATGGTTGCTTAAACCATCGGCGAGATTACGTCTATCTGGTAGGCGATATGTCAGTGTGCTGACTGCACTGTGGATAGAAAGGCTATCCATTGGATTTTCATGCGTTTGTACAACCGCTAGTAGGTTGGACACCTTTCACGCCGTTGTGATTCGTTGAGTATTGCAAGCGACCAAATTTCTTTAATTACGGCTTCAAAGCTAGTGATACGCGATTCCATATTTTCATATGCCAGTGTTTTGCCACTCTGCTTATAGTCTTGCATTCGTCATTCACGAGATGTTCGGATTTGCATATGCTTTCGGCTGTTACATGAGGATTTTGTCTTTTTCACGTCTCAAGTTGAATGTTGATCGAGTTGATCATTCCTGGAATGATTGTGTAAGGGCGCGTGTGACGCAGTGGTCGGTAGCGCCCTGCGACACAAACGTAGGATCGATCTCCGCGCTTATGACTCACCAAGCCTTCCATTCCTCCGGGGTGGGGAAATTGGTACCAGGCTTGTCTGAGAGGAAAGCAGCGCTGGCTCGATACATCGGTAGGCCACCTCGAGTCATTGTAAAGGCTAGATATGCATTCAACCACTTCTAAACGACGCTTAATGAAGTCGAATGCACGGCACATCCCTCAGGGATTGATCAACGCCGAGAGCTTTTTAGTTTTTACAGTGGGTTTCCTAAGTCTTCACCGAAGATCTGCCTGTAGCGATCAAAATGAGCGTTGCTAAGGAAAATCATGCCAATTCGTCCACCGCAGAGGAATTTATGCTTAATCGCCTCAGCTCGTGCACCACCATCGACCATGCGTATTTTGTGCCCCATGTTTGACCACTACGTTTACTGTCCACTTTAGAGTTTACTTAACATTATTAGTTGAGCTTATGTACAATAGTATTCATCATGGGCATGGTGCTAGGTCGATTCCGCGCCGGACCAACCAAACCTCTCATCCCTCCAGAGTCGGGAAATTGGTAACGGGCTTGTCACTCTCTGCAAACCAGTTGGGAACACTCCAGGCCGGCTATCTCAGGACTCCAGGGTGAACTCCTCGACCAGCATTCTACGACAATCAAGGTGAAATGAATGTTTTCAAGCAGCAGCCGAAACCACGCGTAAAGTTGGAAGATCTTCATGGATGATGGATGCGAAGAAACGAATCGAATGTGAGAAGTGCAGCGATCCGCACGGTTGACGTAAAGGCGGGTCGAATAAAATAAAAAAAATAGTAACAATAAAAATAAAAGTAAGAAAACAAAGCAGTCTTGCATTTCTATTGGAACTAAAACTGAATGATAGCATGCAAGTGGGTGCATACGGTAGCATTACAAAATTTGTGCACTGTTACCGCAACATCCTTTAGTTCATTACGTTGTAAATTCGTTAGTACGAAGAAAATAAACGATCGACACATTGTTTTAGAGAGAGGCGATAGTTGACGAATGTCAGAAATAAATCAAAAATATTTTGGTGGTACATCTTGTAATAGTTCCCAGGATCGACTTTCTATTAACCTCCGCATTGGAATATGAATGTGTCGTTTTCTTGTTTAGCAATCGCGAGGTTTTTAAACACCATACATGTTTTTCTATGGAAGTAAATGTATGCTGTTTAAAAACCTCGCGATTGCTGAACAAGAAAACGACACAGTCAAAAATAAAGTTTATTTTAAAGAAAAATGGCCGGGAAATGTCACTTTATTCTCGTGACGAAGAGGCCGACTCTATGAGTAGTGGAAATATTCGTTCCCTGTCAAAAAAAGGTTTAGAATCTGGTTTCCTAAAGCGCTGAGACGGAACTTGAGTCTAGGGTTACAATGGGAATTTTGCTTTGGTTTTCATCCGATATGTTTGATCCTTCCTGTTTAACATTAGAGTCGCATTATTTCGAAGTTAACGTTCCTTTGTAGGAAACTTCTTCGTAGACGTCACTGTCATCCGTATTTTTTAATCAAGGTTTTTACAATATTATTCATTTTCCTTGTCAAGATAGAGCAAAAGGCTTAGGATTTTTTGTTTCGTAAGGAGTGGTGTTACTATCCGTCCTGTATAATATATTTTTTGATGCGGTATAGGATTCGTGTTTCACGTATTAATAGTTATTATAGGACGAGTTGTTCGTTCGTTGCAGACGGCGCTGCAGATGCAACTGATGCGAACAGTTGCCGATAGTCCACGAATGATGGCCGAACCATCTCCTGTGCTTTCCGTCGGCAATCCGCTGGTGAACACTCTGCCGCCGCCAATCAACGCCTTACCACCCAATCCGACACCGTTGTCAGTTCCGCCCGCAGCGAATCCTTTGCTCCACTCCTATCAACAGGTTCGAAACTTGGTGTTGGCACTTAGCTGCAAAAACGTTTTAGTACGAGCAAATTAAGGAGATAGATAGCAGATGAACATGTCAGAAGTTCTAGATTTAGTAGTAATTCCTAAAACCTGCTTTTTATTAACGTTGGCATTGATCAAATAATTCACTGCATTCTGATGAATAAACACGGGGTTGTTGGTTCACTCTTTGTTCACAAAAAAGCTGACGTTTCGGCGGATTTCGCCTTTCCCAGAGCCCGGATAGGTCAAGTTGAGTGCAACTTATTCAACCGAACAACTCCACTACCCCAGCAGAAAACTGACAAAACCGGGGTTTCAATAGCACTGGAAAGAAAATAGCTTCCTCGCATACTCACCGCTTTTTATGAGTCTAGCACTGAGTATTTCACGTGAAGACCAACGTTGCTGAGTTCACATGTGTGGGTAATGTGCATTTCGCGCGTTAAAATATCAGCGTTTGAAATCGTGTAGTGTTGAAACACACCTGTTTGCTGATCGCTTTGAGTTGTAATAGGACGCTTTCTAAATGTGACTCGTTTTCACATACTGTGCTCTGGCACTTTTTTCATCTGGTTTGTCATCTTTCATTCGGTTTGTCTTCCAGTAGTGTCTATTGACTGCCGCCTGAATACTTGAGCCTCGTTTTCATAAAAACTATGACACGAAGCACATAAAATTCTCTGTTTAAATTACATGTTGGTTGGGTGAGATGCTTTCCCTAGAGAGCAGAAAAACCCATGCCAGTGGCTGGTAGGTCGTGATCACAAGAAGTGGCAGCCCAGTTTTGGATTTGAAAAAGGATTTCGCCACATTGTGGCGAGGTATGTCCCAAAATTAACACCACTATCGGCAGAGGTCTATTCTTGCTGGATGTTGGATAGCTAATATCCACTTTATGATATGGTGCAGATATTGCAGTACTAAATTCAAATAGGTAGCCTCAAATTTTTTACCGAAGCAGTGTCGTTCGCTATTCCTTATAGCAACCGGTAATGAATAATTTCTTCCGGATCCTGAGTCGTCATCTCCACTAAGCTTCCCGTTTAGACAGTGCTCAGACTATGAAGTCGTTCAGCGTCTCCATCGGACGGCCGTGTTGAGTCAGAGAATCAAAGTCCATGTTTATATTTTTTGTTTTTTATTTGCTTATTTGTATGATCCGTCTTCACGTCTACTTTGCGCATCCCAGCACTTTTCACATTCGATTCGTTTCCTCGCATTCATTGTCCACGAAGATCTTCCTAGTTTTTACGTGTGCCTTCGGTTGCTGCTTGAGGATTTTCACTTTATCTTGAATGTCGTAGAATGCTGGTTGAGCAATTCTCCCTGGAGTCCTGAAATAGATAGACAGGCTGTAGCGTTCGCAATTGGATTGCAGAGAGTGATTTTTTTTCCAGACAAATCCATTTCCAATTTCCCAACCCTGGAGGGATGAGAGGCTTGGTTGGCCCGGCGCGGAATCGAACTAGCACCGTACTCGTTATGAAAGATATCACTACCACCGTGCTGTCTGCCCCCTGTTGATATTACTCTTCCCTATGCCAACATCCACCCGCTGATATTACTCGGACATTTGGTTGTTCTTCATGGAGAATTTATGAAGATGTGGTTCTGAAGTATGCGAACAATCAATGAGCTCCAATCGTTTTCTCCATTTGTTGAATATTCGTTGTCTTTGGTCGGTTAGACACCACTCTAAGCAAGTATCGTCTTTTCTAAATAGTTCTTATCTCAATAAAAAATGGCTACATTTTGTGTCACTGAGCAGACACCAATATTCGTTCCGTTCATAGCGCTTGACGGAGTAATGTGGCAAATTCGGCCTATTATCAATTTCAAACGTTAGATAATCCTGTCTTCGAAATGTCATGCTCTGGGGATGCGACTCACAGAATCATCTGTCGTGAGTGGTTCAGACATTTTGTGGAGGAACCTTTAATTCTGAGAACTTTTTAGGAAATGGTGTTATAATTATATTACATGGTGTCTGAATAGTCGTTGAAAACCGATAACAAATGTACTCTTTTTCTTGAATGGAAGAAATAGTTGTTGGTGTTGATGAACTAGCCACTGATAATTACGGTACCTTTAGATGGTTCTCGGAGCCAGTCTGTAGACACCACATAAATTGTTCGAGAAAAATTTACTATCACGAGCTTTTACGTGTTTGCCATGCATAACAAAATTGGCTCATTTTTAAAGTTTGTGATTGCGGGCTACGAAAAATCCTTCGCCTGTAACAACATCGAGCAGAAAAAATGCTTGGTTCAAGGAAGCTGAAGCATCCTGTAGTGACTAGGAAAGCCCAGTTTGCACCCGAAGAATAATGTTATGCTGTGCATCTGGCGATGTTGGAAGAAAGTTTTAAGTTGTTATTTGCTGACAGATAACCAAAATTTGTTTTTCAGGTGCTCAATCCAGCTTTTCTTGAACTGCAGCGGCAACTAATCGCTCAGCAAACTGCGCAATTTCGGATTCCGTTGCTGCCGACGCACTTGCCGTCGTCGATGTCCTTGCCTTCACTTCGCCACGTGACGGCGACACTGCCACACCTCGCATCTCTACCGAACACGGCTTCGACGACGTTACCAGCAAGGCCTGTGCCGAGGAAACTGGCACCGCCGACGGTAGTGGTCAGTGCGACCAGCACCCCTCCAACAGGATCGAATGGCGCACACTTTGCGATACCACAAGATCCGATAGTAAGAAAGCCGACATTTCCACAAAGGTAAGCCGTGATGGTAAGTGACAATGAGACACAAAAATGTTTTGGTGTTGTCAATATTCTGCTTTTTTTTTGAAAGGTTATGATAAATGAACGAAACGTACGTCACTTTGTATCACCTGTAACACCTGTAGCCTCGTTGATCGTCGAGTGACTCGAGCGGGCGCCAGTAAATCTTCCATTTTTCCCTGTCGTGTACAAGAGTGGCCCAGTGGGTTCTGCTCGCTTTAGGGACTCGTCGATCATATCTTCTTCAAGGCTCTTTGTGAAGAACTTTGACCATCGGTCTTCCTGCAGTACGTTTGACAACCCGAGAAATCCACTCACTAACGGGTCTTGTCCATCGGTTGTCACTCATACGCATTACGTGTTCGGCCCACCTTATCTTCGACGGTTTGGCGTACAGAACGGCATCTTTGTTTTTTGATCGATGACGCATGCCGGAGCTTCGGATTCCTTCCCTTACTTGTGTGAAACGGGATACTCCTAGCATCGTCCTTTTGACTCCTTACGTTACTTTGTACCACTTATAATTCAATTATTCAACGAATGACTCGAACAGACAGTAAATTTTTCATTCATACTTCCTTTGCGCTAGAACTCATTTGGCTCCGCTGTGACAAGTGATGAGCGGCTGGTTTATTCCAGGTGGTTTGTCTCCCTCCTCCTTGACCAGACTTTTGACCTATTTTGATCCCTTAACTGATTTTTAGCGTACTCCTTAATCATTTGATAACAGGTTTCAGGCTGATTTAACTTGGAGGGCACAACTAGCATACTATCTATCTGCATATAACCAACATAGGTATTATGACTATGAGTACATGTGTAGAGCAGCTGTGTGTGAAGTACGCGTGAAGAGCAGTGGTTAGATTCGGCCTGAAATACAAATGGGTTCGATCATGCGCCCCAGGCTCACTATGCCTTCCATCCCTCCGAATCGGCAAATTCATGTTAGGCTTATCTGGTAAGGTAATAACACTGACAAGGGCCATCTCGAGTCATTGTATAGGACAGATTTGTGTTCAGTAACCTTTAACGATACTTGATGAAGTCGAATGCTATGCGATTTCTCTCATATGGGAATATACACGGAAGTACACCACTGTAACGTGAATTTCTTGGATCGAATTGGACGGAAATGCAAAAAATCAGTTCCGAGACCATTTATTCCACATGGAAGTAGGCATGCGAATAAGTGGTTTTGAGAAACTTGTTTTCCTGTTATTGCAATAGCTACCCCTACCCGCTCGGCGCGACTGAGTCAGATTCACTTTGAGTTAGTTAACACAGGCCTGATGTTGTTTTTTCAACGTTCGTTTACTGCTATTTCACAAAATCTTTGAGAAAGTTCATCTTAACTTTCTCTTACTTTTTATTGCCGTTGTTCTTTTCTCTCAGTCACTTTGTATAAATGCGCTAACGTTAGATAACACTTGTGTTAGATGAAGGTCCAACTAGTCTCTATGGGGTTTCGCCTAATGGTAAAGATTTTTCCGTTGGTCCATGGATTCCTGCGAATGTCATCTTCTCACCTGGTTTTCAAATTACATGAAACAATACAGAAGTGAGAAAGAACATATCCATTCAGTCATCTTCCAACGTATTACATCTAAAAGACAAGTTCGAAGAACCTACTACTCTTTTCATCCCAAAAGATTCGTTGAGGTTGTCAATTTCTTTAGCATTCTTGTCTTATTTTCAGTCGTCCGAGTACATCGGACGATTTGGAGGCCTCGACGTCGACTAACACGAAATCGCCGGAGTTTGAAATGGGTCGACTGCCGACTCGAAACTATATTCCGTCGCATTTCATGAAAGGCACCATGATTCAGATGGCCAGCGGAAAGTTAAAAAAGGTACGGTCGTATTTTATTCCAATATCAGCTTTAGAATGTTAAATAGATTTAGTTTAGTGACAATATGAATCATTCTTCGTTAACCGAAAATCATAAGACTCTTAGGTTTAACTATCGAAAACTGGTTTTGAAGAAAGCAAACAGAAAAACGACAGAAGAATAGGAAGGAAAGCATTAAAATAAACGAAGAGACGGGATAAATTGCTATCACAAAGGTGAGAAGCAATAGATATAGTGCAGTGGGATGACTTAAGGCACTTTCCAATTCCTACGAAGGCGGTAGCTGAGAAGTGGAGTTCTTGATTTTTTTTTCTCCCAAATTGCAAAAGTCATTTTAAATGGGAAAAAATGGATGTCTTTTTTTCCTTGTGTTTAAGTTCTGATAATATTGATTAAAGGTGGAGGAGATGTCATCGGATGACTTTCTATTGGCCGCACCACTTACTGGTGAGTTCAACGTCGACGCCAGTGTAGTGGTGGAAATTGCCAAAGCGTCATCATTGGCTCGGATTAAATTCTCAGTCGGACAATCGCAGTACGAGGTGAGTACGGTTATTAGGTTATTCAATTGCTGTACTTCATGCTAGTGGTTTCCCCTTCACAAACAAAATAATTGTGGAGGTTTATAGCCGGAAGGCCAGAAAAGAACAACCAAGTCTTTTGTTTCTCAACAGTGCTTGAATGAACCCATCTCCACGGATCATAGCGATTTGTGGATTACAAAGAGCCCGAACATGAGTTCCTTTAAACGTATTTTACTGATTGGATGAGCTTTTCTTCTCCCGAGGGACAATAAAGCCATGTAGCGCTTTCCAATGTTATCATCATTAGTCATGTAACCAACAAGTGACATTGTTGTTGCCAACACGCCATTGGTTCCTAGTATCGGATGGAAATGTCAAATTCCTTCCCAGCTTGGCAGATGCTGCCATCGAAATGAATCCAGTGCTGTGTTTTTTCAGCATCCAGGAGTAGCACTTAACCGAGGTGAAACCGCACACCTCTAGTGAAAAATCATTATTAGTTCGCCAAACACTGATTGGAAACTAATTTGAGAAATTTCAAACACAACTGTCGAAAGTATTTCTTAATTTTTTGCAAACGCATGGCACAACGGTCGAGGTGCAACACAGCCATGGTGGTCATGGTTTCGATTCTGTGAGCAAAATAAACTATTCCATGCTTTTCAGGGTCTGCAGATTAGCACTAGACCTTGTCTGGGATAAAACTATTGATTTATTACATCGGTAGGCCCGAATAAGTCACTTAATAGGCCAAATGTTCCAAATTCAACCACCTTTACGGCATTATGAATGCAGTCAAATGCATAGCATATCCTGCTTTCTGCTTTATAAAGCTTTTGAAAGGAATTCAAATGCGCTCGGATGATTTGACAAAATGATTCATTCACCTGGTTGATCATTCGTCAAAAATGTTGTGGAAAACGATGCCAGTCGTTGAATTCCATGCAAAACATCATGGAAATGGGAATCGTACGAATCAACTCATTCGCGCTCCTACACTCCTTAGAATCCAGGGCTTCTGGGCGTTCCAAGGTGGTCATCACAGGTAGCTGCTACCGATCTAAGTAGATCGAACGAGCGTTAGCTTACTGGCGAATCACTCTTTTTAATATATCTGGTGTACTCGCTTAATCTTTCTTATCTTTCATGGAAATTATTGAGCTATATTTTGGTTTGAATAACCACAGTAAGGAAATAAAATCCTTGCAGATATGCACTTTGGAACACCCAATAGCAGGATAGAGCAAAGGAAAAATCATGAAGGGACCTAGAAATTATGCCGGTATACTGAGGAGTTCCTCTAGCACCTTCACTAGATTAGGTGAAACTGTGTAATACAATACGGTTTTCTTTCAGGTTTTTTCCTTGTGTGGTGCGCGAATAGGGTAGTAGTAGAGATGCCACCTAATAATACCCGCAAGTTTGTTGCTCAGACTCTCCCAGATCTACCTAAACCTTTCATCCCTTTGAGGTGTTGAAAATGGCACCAGACTGTTCTGCGAAGTTCATTGCGATTTCCACACACGGGCGACTGCTTGTGGTGAACCTGGAGGTGCCCTGGCCGAGTTATTAGTGATCCATAACCACAGTGATGTTGAAATAATTGCAAAACTCCGATCCACATGTGTCTGCGGTGAAGTCGAACCCGCTGTTACCCTTTCTGGGGGCTAACGTGTTCACCACCACACCCTGCGAGTCCTTCGTTTCACCTTTCTCTCAGCCATATTTTAATCTGTAGGTGCTATTAGCAATCACCAGTGAAGGGATTGATCTGAGGAACAGAAATTGGCATTGAACTCGGTTAAGCTGAAGCAGTAGCACAAATCACAATTTAGTTGCTTTTATCAGTGATCCTTCTTCACTTTTATCTTTGCTACTGACTGTATTATTGTTAGTGAAACACTAAACCAAGTACATAACTGATAGGTAGGACTGTTGTTATAAGATTTTCGCTTTATTTATGTCATCGCTTCTTTGTCTAATTTCCACCAAAGACTGTCTCTTCATTTTCCAAGGATATTTGGCCTTCTAGGCTACGCTTGAGCCTCAACTGGAACATCCGTTTTTTGTGCTTGGAAAAGGTTGGTGTTCATGCGATCCGCATCGTACTGCTGAGACTTACGGCTTGGAGTGTCAAGAATTGAAGGTAGGTATGACCGCTTCTTCTTCTTTCTAACAAAATTGTCACTCCTTCAATATAGGACTCGAAATTTGCTCTACTTTTCCTCTCGAAAACATCGCTTGAAATTTATGCCATAAAGAAGATAATAGGGGACGTGAAGAGTAGTGGTTGTGATGCTGTTCATTACGAACACATCTTTGGATTAATCTCGCCTCAGAGTCACCAAGCCCTCCGCCCATCCGGAACCGGAAAAAATTGGTACCAGTTTCGTAAGCGTGCCCAATATGGTTATAGAAGAATTTCTGGGAGAATCGAGGTGATTAGCACTCAACGAAATTAATAAGTGCGAAGAAAATCCTCAAGTTGTCGCTGAACCAAAACGCAAAAAGTCTGGACTCGAAAAATGAAACAAATGCAAAGAGTGCTGGGTCCGCACAGCACATGTAAAAGACGGGTTTTGTAGAAAAACAGATCATTGGAATGACAGTAGACTCTTAGGCCGATAGCGAACGAACGCGGACACCAGTCCTTACACGCTAGCAGCGCATTGTTGCGCTGAGCAATGTGCTTCGTCAAACATTGATTTCTCCCTGATTGCTTGATTGATTGATTGACTCTGATTGACTGATTGATTTTTCTTAGTATTTATAACCTGTATGCTGTTTGCTTTAGTAGAATAGAACATTACTTTATGTTTTAAAATATTTATAAGTCGATGAGGTTTGTAGTGAAGATTCTTTATGCTGTTAATCGGCGTCGAATGCACTGTGTTCCTTGGAAAAATCTTTGAAGTCCTTCTTTTGTAATTCTTCATATTAGCAAGACTTGGGCATCGCTTTCTAATACCTAGATACTTGACCACCTAAACGGCCTGCCTTCATGAATCCAGAAAAATCATGCAGGTCCCAGCACGGTTTCAATTTCAATGGTCATTTACTGGTTGGAAAAAATTCGCTTTTCTTGGAGTCTCGAAGGCCACGCTAGTGCTTACTCAGGTCGACATCACTTACAAGTTAGTGATTATGTTGCTGCCAAGATGGTAGTAATTTCTAGCGCTGTTTAGCTCAGTTTTTGGGTGATGGCAATATCGCTTGATGGTGAAGGATTAGGAAGCTCACAAAAGGACAAAAAGGGTGAAGCGTTCGGGTTTGATCAATCTTTGATGGTATACGCCATGCATTCGACTTCATTAAGCATCGTTGGAGGTGATTGAATGCGTATCTGGCCTGTATTCGAACTATTTTGCTTTATGAGTTCAAACTTAAGCACAATGAACCGGAAGCATCTTCAAATATCAAGAAACCAGGAACCAGAGAAGGACTTCCGAATGCACAGTGTACAGATACTTCGAAAAGTCGCGTAACGAAGGTGTGGGTTTCGATAACGAGAAGGGTCATGTGCAGCTACTCTGAGCAAATAGAAACGTTCATCTGAAAGTGATAACCGTCCTTAAACTTCTGAAGACATTGTAGAAGAGTCAGCATTAAGTAATCAACAATCAATTTCCACTCAAAGAGCACTAGAAGGGCGGAAAGGGCAATGAATGTGATCCACAAAAAACGAACGATGAGCAAGTAGGTCGTTGTTATAAAATCAATCCGATCTGTGTTTCTGCTGCATAACAAACTCGACCGCACTGGTTTAACCGAGACGAAGCGCCTAAGCACTTTGCGAAAGCAGAACTTGCACCAGAATAAGGTTATGATGAGCGCACGGTAGTCTACGAGGTAGGTGTATTATTGTGGTTAGGAGTACCCTGCGATACACATATGGTAGTCGGTTTGATCTAGCGCCGTAAGTAGACATGTCTGAGAGGATAGCAGCACCAACTTGATGCCTCGAGGTCATCGCAAGTCATCCTGTTGGCTTGATTTGCATTCTATCACCTCTAACTATACGTGATAAAGTCAAAAGCATGCCGTATCCTCCGTTATTGATCAGCACCGAAATCTTTATCATTTTTTAGCCTTTTCTGGCTCTATTTTTTTGGACTGTTCAGCTTACATGAGGTTGTTACGTGAGTTTCATTCGCCTAGTATTTCGACCTCTTCGACCTCTTCAGAACTGATGATTCTAGTCGATGGCGTTCGTTTCGCAGTGTGGGTTCTCATAGTCATGTTGAGTTGAAGTCGAATCTTCTCGAGTGGAGCATCGCTCGAACGAAATAACCCCACGCCGCGGTGGCCTTTTGCACACGACAGTTGTTCACTGACGGTCGACTAAAAATGATTTCTTTTCGTTGAACAAGGTCAACAATTGAACCTGTTCCAGTCGGAATTAGAACAACTAATATATAGGGAAGTAATACTTCACTAAATCGACTATTTTCTAGGACTGTTCTGCACTTATGGCTGGCTATCTGTAGCTGGGCTGATCAACCCCAACCTTCTAGTTTCCACAGTTAGATGTTAACTCGCTTTATGTGGAAATTTTTTTCTGAAAGTGCTGCCATGTTAGCCCTGTAAAAATTGGTCGAATTGTTAGCGAACAAGAAAAATGCGGCAAAACTAAAAACCTAACTAATAGGCAAATGATGTTCAGGTGGGTGATGTATGCATTTCGTTGTCGAGACGATCGCAAGAAAATGCGAAGCAGCTCGACGAAACGGTGACGCTGGCTGAAGCCGCCGAATTCAAGAATAAGGAGGCCGCACAGGCGGCTATCCGTGAACAGCTCACAAAGGAAATGGTGAGTTGTCATTGCAGTTTTGATTCTGTCCTCTCTTACGTTCTCTTCGACTCCACCATCCTTAGAGGGCTTCCCGTTTTATCAGTTTTATATTCTTAGATCGTTAGTGCGACTTCTTACTTACTCTCTTAGATCTTTGGATGACCAGTCGTGACTGTTCAAGCAGTATCATCAATTTTTCTCACTACATAATCTCTATGCGCACATTTATGTTTTTCTTTTAACTTGTATTTTCCTGGACTTCAAAGACGTAATTATAGAAGTTCTGACCTATAAAGTTCGGGTTAAATTTTCAGTTATGACTGAGCTTTTGTGGAGCTGAGATTGTGCAATTATATAGGCAAAAAATAACCCCAGTAATTCTTGAGTTTTGTTATATCACCACATTTCAAACTATGAATTGGAGACGTCTTAATAGGATAGCCGTTCAGAGTGAAACCGATGGTCGAAGTTCAGCGCCGCCAACGCGCTACCATCCGTACGCGAAGAAGATGCGCAAGGTGTCGGAGAGTTGAACAAGCACAACAATTCTTCAATCCTATTCGCTTACCTAATAATTTTTGCCTTCATGTTTCATTTCTGTTTCATTTTCTCTTTCATTTTTGCTGTTTCTGTTCGTGTGCTTGACGACATTTACCGTAGTGATTCGCTAGCGATTCGATCCTTTTGTTGTGAGAACACTCTCCTAGGGACTGAATAGATCAGGTATTAACTTTTGAAGGGTTATAGTAAATAATGAAAAATCCATGCTACGGGCTTATAGTTCTCAGAGTTGCGACGATTCAGAATTTTCTATCCTACTTTCCTCTTCCTCCGTCATGTTTCTTCTTCAAAACACGTGATTCATTCAGGTCCTATTACTTTAGTTACCGTATAGCGTTTATTTATTTAATCTTCTTCAACCACTGAACGGTTCATTGTTGCTGTGAAATCAGTCGGGCATAGTGTTGTTCTCTTTCTTTTAGTTAGTGATATGTTAGTTCATTTCATTCATTAGACTTCAAATGATCTCCACCATACTGAGGTCGTCATCACCGTCAATTTTACTGTACAAAATTAATTATTGTAGTCAGCTTGAAAGCGGTAAAAACACTTCACTGGTCGTTGCCTTTTTGTTCACCGTCAGTTGACTTGTTGGTTTGGACTATTCTTTAAATAATTAACGTTTACTATACATAAGGGCGCATGTGGTGCAGTGGTCGGAGGCGCCCTGCGACACAGACGTGGGATCGATTTCGCACCAAACTTGTCAAGAAAGATAGCAGCACTGCCTCGATGCATCGGTAGGACACCACGAGTCATTGTAGAGGTCAGATATGCATTCAGTCACCTTCAAACGATGCTTAATGAAGTAGAATGCATGGCGCATCCTGCAGGGATTGATCAAAGCCGAAAGCTTTATCCTTTATCCTTCAATATTACTGTGCACAGCGATATTCAGAGGGTGTTTACAATGCAGTGATTGTTCTCCTTTCATGCATATGATGGTTGGTTCGATTATGTGCTCTTGGCAAACCAACCCTGACTCCACTTCAGGGTTTGCAAACGGGTTCCAAACATCTCTCGAAAAGCAAAACCACCGACCTTATGCATCGTAGACTGCTGCTCATTGCATACGCCAAACATGCACTCATTCACTCCCACGAGGCTTCGAAGGGTATTTTCTCAGGGATAGAACGCTTTATTCTTCGCTAATATGCAAGGCTCCATAAGTATATCTGTTGAAACCAATTGTAGGATAGCAAAAAAAAAATAGGCAAGATGTTAACAACAACTGGTGCGAGCATGACGACAACAAACGCAGTCGGAATGACATGAAGGAAACTATGACTGCGTGTGACAAGCACACAACAATAGTAGAAGTTGAAATGAGTTTGAATGACCCTCGGACGAACGTCGTTTTTGTTAAAGGCTCTGTTGTCCCATTGTTAAGAGAAGGTTAGAAGGTCATCAACATCCTCTGTCTAAGAAAGAAGTTCGAATAACATAAAGTCTCTTCAATATGCGGAATTCTATGTAGTGTAAAGCGCTAAATTCATTCCACGTGTTGTTATCGATCAAAAGTTTTAAAAAGCTTTGGTGAATTAATGAAGATGCGTTGGAGTTTTTCGGTCCGTTCGCGATTCACGAAGTCTACAGCTAGCGATTTCTAAACAATCTCATTAGTTGTTCATTAGATAGGAAGCGGATTTTTGCGAGATCCTCGGAAGGCAACGTGAGAAAAGGAAGAATGCCCGCCCTTCATATGAACCAACAACGCCTAAGATGACGAATAGTATAAACCTGAACATGAGCCAGGTTTTCAACAAACGACAATGTTCATCATCGCCAACGCATTTGTTTACGATAGACAACAGCCGATGGAACCCTTATTTCGATGTAGCATCTTTTCAATAGGAAGCGGATAACACAGTGGTAGTGATGCCCGCCATTACGAGCATGCTAGTTCAATCCCGCTTCAATCCAACCACGCCTCTCACTCCTTGGGGACGGAAAATTGGTACCGGACTTGTCTGGGAAAAAAAATCACTCTCTACAGTCCAACTGAGAACGCTCCAGCCCGGTTGTCTCAATGCTCCAGGAAGAATCGCACGACCAGCATTCTACGACAATCAAGATGAAATGAATATCCTCAAGCAGCAACCGAAACCACACGTAAAAACTTGGAAGACCTTTGTGGACGATGGATGCGAGAAAACGAATTGAACGTGAGAAGTGCTGGGATCCGCACAATAGACGTGAAGACGGGTCAAATAAAATTTAAAAAATGCTATACCTTTTTATTTTCTGCCTACTATAATTTCGCGGCAGGGTACTCAGCAAAATACAACCACAACGTTGCTGAGATATTTGCAAAACTCTGGACCGCAGGTGTCTATGGTGGGGAACAAACGCGCTATTGTCCTTTCCGGGAAGTAACGTGTTCACCACCACACCATGCGGGTCCTTTGTTTCGCCTGTCTCTCAGCTATTTCTCAACTACAGCCACAGCTTAACTGGGTTCTATGCCGATTTAGGCACCCCAGATCAATCCCGCTGACTGGTGATTGCTGTGGCAAAGATCCTGCTGCTTAAACTGAACCGGATTGTAAATGTGAATCGCTGACCACCAGGCACGCACTCCCTGCTTCCATGAAGAAGAAGAAACAGAGCGACTCAAGTTCGTTCTTTTGAATGACGGAGCTCCGAGTAACCAAGCAGTTAAAGCGGGGCAACTGGTAACTCCGACATGCTGCCTTCATATGATAATTTGTTCCGGAACCCGGTGCATCAAAAAACTCAGAGGTGCCCTTGCCTAACTCTTCAATGTGCAAAGCTTACCACTCGAGAGAAGAGAGCCGAAGACCTAAAGAAAAACTGGTGGATCATCTTGGACAATAGTGGTAAATGGCTAAAGCTGTGTTCACGATAAATAAAATCAACAATAAAAGACAACGAGAAAATAGTAAAGCCAGAGTGGACTTTTGCTTTGACCAAAAGGGTTGAAAGGCGCCCAAGGTCAGAATTATGATGTTATGAAGAGGAACTGACACTGACGTAGTGACATTGAAACCAAGAGTCATAAAATACAAAAGAGAGGTTCGATTTGAACCACCAAGGATCGCCAAAAAATAATGGCTATGGCAGCGCTGGCAACAAATCAACCCCAAAGAGTAATTTAGAATGCATCAATAGCGACGTTGACAGTTTTCAATTATTTCCAGCGAGCAGTTTCCCGATGTCATCAAGGAAGTAGCACTTTTAGGATTATTGTTAAACCACCAGCGCTCCTTATCGTGAGGAATCTCAATAACGATAAGGTCATCTTGAGCAGAGCAAAATAGAAGGTAGTAAAATTACTTACTACAGATGCCAGGTGCTTTCCCCTTCTTAAATGTTCGTGCGTGCCTTAACCTTTCTTGCTCATTCATTCATTGCGGTGTGCTATCATTCGTGGAAGTTGCTCAGTTTACATGCAGTTTCAGTAGCTGAGAGATTCTTAGTGGATTAACGTGGTAAGACGTTTCTGTCTTTAACCCCGTGTTCTTGGACGTCCTTCTGTTTTAGGAGACGTTTGATCCCAAGCGGATCTCCTAAGATTGTAACAAATCCTGTGATTGCAGAAATTCCTGCGATTAATCGGCTGACTACTTACATAGCTCAAATTGTATGCACTACTACATCACATAGTGAAATATTTGTTCAACTATTGGTTTTACTGAAAAATCAAGGGCGAGCAGTACTGCGACTAAAGCTGTCCACCGATACACATACTTTTCTTTTCAATCTTGCTCCTAGGCTATCCAAGCTACGCTTCGCTGCGGAATCTTGTAATGGGACTAGGCTGGACTAGTCTGCGAGGATAGTAGCACTGAAATGATTTATTGGTAGGATACCGTACCCCGTTATACAAGCCATATATGCCTTCAATCACCTCTCAAACCTGCTTGATGAAGTTGAGTGCATGGCGCATCCCAGTAGCCTCCATCACTGAGCGTTTGATGTGTTCTAAAGCATATCAAGCCTATACAATGGCTTGCGATGGCCACTGACATATCAAGTTGTTCCTTTCATTCTAGAGAGGTCCTTTATCTACTAACTCCGATGTATGTGAAGCTTGGTTAGTACGGTAGTGGCAGTGAAGACATGTGTATCAGAGGACATCTGTAACTAATGTGCGCACCTTATCATCTATGACGATTTCTTTTATTCGTTAACGTTTTTTGTGCCGTGCAGCAATGCCACCTGTAAGCCCGCAAAATCGGGGCTACTCAGACAGATACCAGTAAGATTTTCTGTTGGCTCTATTAGCCCAAAGCTTCTTATTCGGCTCCAATTTTCATAAAGTATTGAGGAAGACGATATTTTAATAATTACGGGTAACAATTCCTGAACTTATCTAAGAAGACTTTTCAAAAAAAAATGAGGATTCGAACGTGTAACCAAACAAAAAAATTGGCCTTTCGTGCTTTTGGCCCAAAGATATCACCCAAATAGATGACGAGCTACCTGACCTCAGATCTCCGAACCAAGCATTTTAACTCAAAACTTCTTTTTCAAGTGGCAACAATCTGAAATGTTTACGTAGAAATAAACAGCAATATCTTCTAGGAAATTCATAATGGAGGTGCACGTCTGCACACTGCACTACAGATTTTGCTTTTGCTTATAGCACCGTTAGAATGAAAAACTGGTCGAGAGAAACACACATCAGGCACCTTGGTGGTGCGGTGGGATAATATGTAAGCCCTTGAAAGAGCGGTCGAGAGTTCGAAGCCGGCCTAAGATCCGAGTTCTGCAAATACCTCAACATCCTTCTGCTCGTGTCCCAAACAATAGCGTGCCATGAAAAAAAGTAAACGGTAAATAAAATGTTAAGCATTGAGATTCCGTTTCCTTCATGATGTAGTGCAGTGCGTATCTTAAACAAAACACTGGCTGGTGAAATCTCAAGACCATATGTCATATACGACCAAAAAGTGCATGCATTTATTGTTCTTGTTTTCATTCATTCTACCACGTCAATGTCGATTTC